CCAAGAGGAAAAGAAACGAGCCATGCAACACGCTCAGAGACTAAGAGAACAAAGAGATGAGGCTAATCAGAAATTGACACAGATTGAGCAGCTTGAAGCAAAGCTGATTAGCTTAGAGTAGACTTTTCAGAACTCTTACAATAACAACATGTTTCTTTCTTTAAAAGAGAATGAGGTATTGAAAAAGAGGATAGCAGAGTTGGAGGGAGGAGAGTTCATCTACTCATCTACACGAGAGATGGCCAAGCAGGAAAACGAAGGCTTAAAAGCCAATATTGATGAGTTAGAAGTCACAGTACGGAGATGCCATCAGCAAATCCAACAGTTAGAGGAAAGTGACCACTGACTAGTCTTGAACTGGGAATGACGCTATGGCAGGCTAAGAACACCATTCAGAGGCAACATGGAGCAATGAAGAAGGTAATGGATCAGGCTAGTGGTGTTGCTCGCCAAGTCTATAAATTGTCTGAAGAAGCGGCAACCCTAAGAGTTTTTGTGATCCCAAAATCAGAGGAAGAGTGACACATCATAGGGTTGATGATAGAGCTCAAAAAATTAGGGGATAGGGTTAGATTCTATATTTAGTTCATTGTTAATGTATCATCTTTGTCTTAGTGCTTAGACATTGTGTGTTGTCGATAACTTTTTGTATTAACTAAGTTATCTTGGAATCAATATCGGTTTGCATTTGCAGTTACATTTTCATGTTGTTTTCTCTAAATGTTTAAATCTTAATGATTGCATTGAAACAATTCATTCATTCATTCAAAAAGTTCACCAAATAATAAAATATAATTTTTGATCATTTGTAGTGATTCTGACATACACCTTGCACCTATACAGTACTCGTAAGTCAATTAAGAAAATGGAGGAGAGACTAGCCCGAATTAAACAAGACCAATGAGAAACATAAGTGGAAATGAGGAAAAGACTAAGTAAAAAGGAAGCGGAAATAAAAACCTCGCAACTCAGTATACTACAAACGATCGAAGAGATATTCAAGAAGCATTCTACGTTAGAAAGGCCGCAGTTGACCAGCCAGCGTAACCCAATCAAGAGCCCTCGCATCCCCCAGATTTTGGATCGGGATCATCGCATCCTGCTGAGTTTATCCGACCCCAGCACCCACCGGGAGTTACATTGGACCCTCACATTTTCCCAGTTTTACCCCAATGCACATTTCTGTTAGATCGCCAGCTCTACAAGAAACTCGTCCCGAAATCTACATGGCTAATCAACAAAATTGTACCAAGCTCGCATTCCAAATGAATTACCCTTTGCTGCTAGGGTAAGGCCTGTCGAATCAGTCGTGGGGGAGCTGCCACCCAACTTCCATGAAATAACAGAAAAGGAAAAGGTTAATAGCGAGATAACCCAATAGTTGAAAAGTCTAGAGGAAAGGGTGAGGTCAGTAGAAGTGGAGCCTTTCTACGGAAAGAACGCAAGGGAACTATGCTTGGTTCCTGATCTCATACTTCCCCCGAAGTTCAAAGCACTAGACTTCGAAAAATACGACGGGACCACTTTCCCATTTGCTCACCACACCATGTTCTGCAGGAGAATACCGGGTTATACTGAAAATGAGAAGGTTCTGATACATTGCTTCCAGGACAGTCTGACTGGATCGGCGGTCAAATGGGACAATCAGTTAACCAAATCTCACGTCAAAAGGGTTGTAAAAAACCTCATCAATACTGGGGATTTGGAGTTTAAAACACCAGCTGTGAACGCTCACCCCCTGCCTAATCATGGGGGTAGGGAGTCAATATGGTCGATGAAAAGGAGATCAAGACGACAAAGAGAGATTTATCAGAAGTCAAATCTCCCCTTTGCTAGGTGTTCAGGCAACATCGTGCATCGAGAATGATTGGAGGTAATCCCAAAACGAGGCCATTGGGATGAGAAATATACTACGAATATCACCAAAATGAGGACCATAACATCATGATTTGCCTCGAATTTCGAAGATTACTTCAGAAGATGATGAATAACGGGGATAAAAGATGAACGTCTATATGACAGATGACTCTGACAAGATATCGGGGATGAGAAAATCGGATGTCATAGCGTCATTCCTAGTTCTGCACTAGTCAGTGGTCGACTTTCCTCTAACTGCTGGATTTGCTGATGACATCTCTGTACTGTGACTTCCAACTCAACAATCTTGGCTTTTAAGACTTCGTTTTCCTGCTTGGCCATCTCTCGTGTAGATGAGTATATCAACTCTGCTATCATCTTCTTCAATACATCATTCTCTTTTTGAAGAAAGAACTCGTTATTGTTGTAAAGGTTATGAAAAGTCTTCTCTAAGCTAATCAGTTTTGCTTCAAGCTTCTCAATCTGTTTTTTCCTCTGTGTCAATTCATGATTAGCCTCATCTCTTTGTTCTCTCAGTCTCTGAGCGTGTTGCATGGCTCATTTCTTTTCCTCTTGGCTCTTTCTTGCGCTTCTTTCTACCCCGTCGAGTTTTATCTTTAAGGCCTTAGTGGTATGATGCATGCCCTAGGCTCTCATGTTCATTTATAGGTCCCGGTCCATCGCATTGAAACTCTCTTGGACTCTCTTTTTCTTTGGTTAACTACTTTATTACCCCATCATTCTTAATCAGCTCGATCTCCCACATTGTCTTTTCATCCGAGAAGCTTCTTTGTTCTTTCTCTCTCTCTAGGCTCATTAACCGAATTTCCTCTCTCAACAACCCAGCCTCAGTTAGGAGCCTCCTCAATCACGCTTCCATGATCAACCCATCATCCAAATTCGGCCTTAGGTGTTGTCATTAATCCTTCCCAACCTCGAATCTCGTATCCTAGCGTAAACACTCCATTATTTTTATGAATTATTCTAATGTTACTAATTTGTCTCTTCGATCTCCCACATTATCTTTTCATCCAAGAAGATTCTTTGTTCTTTCTCTCTCTAGACTCATTAACTGAATTTCCTCTCACAACAACTCAGCCTCAGTCGGGAGCCTCCTCAATCGCGCTTCCATAGTTAGTCAATCCTCCAAATTCAGCCTTGGGGTGTTGTCATTAATCCTCCTCAACCTCGAAACCTCGTAGGCTGGTGTAAATACATGCTCCATCATCTTGAAGCTCATAAAGTGGGGTTTTTGCCATGCCGTGTAGATCTTCGAGATCCGCTCTCGGTAACCAGGGGTAGAGAAAGAAAATTCTGCCTCATTCAGACCGTGGGTAGCTGGTATGAACTACCGGGTACTGAACCGTCGGAGTGCTATCAGTAGAGTATACCCGACTGCTCCCCATAGTTTGTGCAATATCATAAAGCTATCGTTGTCACACTTGTATAATATGTCCTATTTGGGCAACCAGTAAGCTTTTCATGCTATCTCGGTATCTTTTATGTTCTTGAGGGCTTCAACCCAATATTTCCTTTTGCGATGCTCCGGGATTTGGCACATAGCAAGGAAGTCTACTAGAGGAGAGAAATCTAACTGATATATTTGAGCCCAACCTTTCTCTACTATCCAGGAGTGACTCCACAACCAAACTAGTAACAACGAGGCACAACCAGTGAACTGACCTCCTATCGATCGTCTACACTGGTTTAGTGACAAGAATGTTTATGCTAGGATGGATGGTTCGGGATTAGTCTTTCTGGCAATGACTTTGAAAAAATCGATTAAGGTGACATTGAAATGATCCTCCTTCCTTGAGAAAACTAGCAAGCCATATAATGCGAGCGCGAAGTTATCTCTCCTCCTCTTGGATGGCAACTGCTCGTAAATCAAACTCTTCAGTTGAGCCCAAGATATCCCCTCATCGTGAATGTACTCCTCAACTTAATCCTTGGTCTTTCCCGTTAGCATGATCATCTTGGTTATGAACCCCTTGGGTCGGATCGCCTTGGTGTAAAGGGAATGACTTCTAACATTTGGGATGTTCAGCAGAGCCGTATATTCTTCCAAGGTAGGGGTGGTCATGTCCACTTTACCAAAAGTGAAGCATCAGTAAGTCGGATTCCAACACTCGACCAAGATTCGAACCACCACTGCATATATTGGCACCCTCAGCAACTCGACGATGTCACCGTATATCTCTCTGAACAGTGTCTTTTCATTATTATCCCAGCTGGCCTAAATTCTCGATAACTCAGACCAATGAGCCTGCCTGACTTTGACAATAACTTTCTCTGGCAAAACTGACTCTTCGGTAGCGGCAATGATGTCCCTGAACCGTGTCTGCCCATACTCAGACCAGGTATGAACATTTATCGCGTTCTCAGTCCCATCGGAAGACATTGCTGCCTTAAGCTCTTTTTTATAGTAACTAGGAAATCTGGGAATTAATACCTTCTATACAATTATATGAAAATGATACATGCAATTAGAAAACAAAGCGACAAATTAGTAACATTAGAATAATTCATAAAAATCAAAAAATAATTAGAGAAAATTTAAAGAATCGGATGTAAAACAATCAAAGAAAATTAAAATCATAACCTTATGCGATCTAGTTCTTCCAGGTTGTTCACATGGCTCTAGCGGGGTAGGTTTACTAAATTCTCTATATGAGGCTGAGTTCTAGCAAAGGTTCCCAAGCCATCTTTACAACCTGCTAAGGTTGCCTCCGATTCTAGCCCATTACAGACTTGCGAATCGGATTCTGGTTTGGGGATCACATCGTTAAAAGTGTATCTCGGTACTGATATCCGGACAAGCAACTTAGGATGCTTTCTAGAGATATTTTATTAGACCCACACAAGAAAGCCCAATACTCATGAGGTGTGACGTTTCTCCCTACTAAGGTAAACCGAGTTAGAGCTCGGATTCAAAGCTATGATATGCAACAATCTTAAATAATTCCACAAAAGTGTAAGCATTAACCAGAGAGAAATTTTTTTTTTTCATTTTGAAATAACATAATGAACCGTAAATTAAATAAGATTGAACTCATAATTTCCAAATAGTAATATAGGGTAACCAACTCGTGGCTCGACTCACAATTTTTTAAAAAACAAAAGTCCCCAGCGGGGTAGCCAATATGTCGACGCCTTGGATGACAACAGGCGGTGTCTGGCAGGTCATTATGGCAGCAGCGATAGCTGAAAGGTCATTAGGGTTAAGCTAGATTTAGGATAGGGTTAGGTAATGGGCCAGGTTTGGATCTATTTGGGCCCGAGTTTGAGTTTTATTTGGGCCTAGTTTAGGGTTCAATTTGGGTCTATTTTTTTGGTTTTGGGGTTTGATTTGGTTGGGGCCCAGAGAGAAAAATGGTGATTACAAAAGTCTGCTGCTTCTTATGCTCTTGGCAATATAGCTGTCGGAATCTTTCCAAGTATTACCTTTCATCTTGGACCAGATTGATAATAAGCAGAAGAAACAATACCTGTTGCTTCATTCTCTTAAGGAGGTATGTTTTCTTGAAGTGGCACTGAATCCTAACTGGATATTTTTGTCTTATGCAGCATCTATATTAATGTTAAAATTTACTTCTTGCAGGTTATAGTAAGGCAATCTGTAGATAAAGCAGAGTTTCAGGATTCAAGTGTTGAGAAAATTCTCAAATTACTTTTTAACCACTGTGAAAGTGAGGAAGAGGGGGTCAGAAATGTGGTGGCTGAATGCCTTGGTAAAATTGCACTCATTGAACCAGTAAAACTCATTCCAGCACTTAAGGTATTTTCACAACACTACTCCATTGCCCTTACTTCTGCTGAGCTTTTGGCATTTGAGTGTAATGTAATAGCACATTTGTTATTTTTAAAATTTGAATTTCTTATAGTTGAGAACCACCAGTTCAGCGGCTTTAACTAGGGCAACAGTTGTCATTGCCATAAAATATTCTATTGTTGAGTGGTCGGAGAAGATAGATGTGATTATTTATCCTGAGATTGCTTCATTCCTTATGCTTATCAAGGATCAAGATCGGGTGAGTACCCTTCTTCTGATCACATACCCCAACAAAAAGAAAAAAGAAAAACTTTTATGTGGTTTCTTATATATCTAAGCCTTATTATTGTTTATCTGAAATCATCGATGCAGCATGTTAGGCGTGCAGCTGTGTTGGCTTTATGTACTTTTGCTCACAATAAGCCTAACTTAATTAAGGGACTTCTTCTTGAATTATTGCCACTTCTCTATGATCAAACAATTGTTAAGGTAACTCAGTTTTGCTTTATGTTGATTGTGCTGATGATTTGCTGCTAATTAGGTTTCTAAATTCATTCTTAGTTAACTAAAAGATTTTCACGCGACACTGCTGTGATTTTCTTAATCTATTAGCATTTTCCATTATATAAAAAAATATTATAGGAGGGGTATGGTAACTTTCTTGGTTGTCTTTACTGTTTTACCTTGCAAATCTTTTGATTTTCTTTTGTTTAAATCATTAACACTCAAAATATGACGGATTCTATAGGAAGATTTTATCATGATATTTCAGGTATGATGCAGGGCTACATGGTTTCATTTGTTAATTTTTTTTTGTTTGCGTCATTCTTTTTTGATGTTTGTAGTTTACTAGTCCATTCCACTTTCCCCATTTTCACTTGTGGGTGTATATGCCTGCTTTTTCTTATGTTATTTTAAATTCTGGCCTGGTGCAGAAAGAATTGATTAGAACTGTTGACCTCTGTCCCTTCAAGCACATTGTGGTTGATGGTCTTGAGCTAAGGAAGGTAGCTTTCGAATGTGTAGACTCATTAATGGATAGTTGTCTCAATCAAGTGAACCCCTCATCTTTCATTGTCCCGTACCTCAAATCTGGACTTGATGGTAAGTTGTCCCCTCTTTATATTGTGGGTATAAACCTTGTGTATATATCAGATGTTATATTTGGTTATGAACAATAATTAGATGCTTTATTATACCAATTAGCAATTTTTTAAGGTGGAGGATAGTTCTATCGTGCTTGTACCTGAAACCAAAATCTGATGAAAATAAATTAAATTATTATGCCTTGAATTATTCCCTCGGCCAAAAGGTCATCTGTTTTGATCATGCACTTAATGCAATAGTTATTTGACTTGGAATAATACATTTTTGAACTAATTTAAATTTTTTGTCAGATCATTATGATGTTAAGATGCCTTGCCATCTTATCCTTTCGAAACCTGCTGATAAATGTCCATCTGCTGTATTACCAGGTGAGGGATGAATTAGGTTATCTTTACTGAGATGCCAGATAATTGGTTAGCTTTCATTTGTTTTATAAACTTTTCCTTGAATTTAAAAAATATAATATTTGATCATTTTTGTTTCATTTTAAAGATGTAGTCGTTAAAGGTTAACGGTTAAAATTTTAACGGTTTGTTAATGTGACACAGTAAATATATAAAATTAAAATCACATCATTTTCACGTAGATAATATATGGATTAAGTTTTGATCCTCACTTTCCTTTTATATTTGTTCACTTTTTCTCACCAAATAAAAAAACGTAAGTTATGGTTACTTATGTTACTATTTTATTAAGTTTAGATCATTTATGTTATCGTTTTATTAAGTTTTGATCACTTAAATGTTGAATGTCGTTAGCGTGATGATATGGCCCGTTAGTAAAATGATTTAATTTTATTTTATTCCCTAAAATTTAGACAATTTTGATTATGACTTTTTGTGTAAATTTAAATTAGTTTAGGGATAATATTTTTATTTACCTATTTAAAAAAAATTATCCCCAACCCCTAATATTGCTTATCTTCTCCCTGCTTCTTCTTTGGACATCTCTGCTCTATTGCAATAGCTTTCTTGTTATTAGTTGTAATTATTTAAAGTCAAATTAGTTGGGTTCTCAGTTGTAAGGAAATGTATAAAAAGAATATCGTGAAAAATATAGAGAATTCAATACTAAAACCCTAAAAAGATTCACCACCATAACGATGTTATCGCCTCAAGTCGAGAAAGCTAAAGCATCTTCAATGGCGGCGTTATTGATGACAAAGTACTAGGTTTCCATCTCTGATGCGTTGTTGACTAACGAAATCCCAATGATGCAAAAGATCATCGAGAATGTTTTACCGCACCCGAACGTGATCGACCTCCTCAATGTTTACGAAGATCAAATCGACGTTCAGTTAGTACTGGAGGCTGATGGTGAGTTGTTCAATCGAGTTGTCACAGAAATGAGATACTCAGAGGCCAACGTGGTGACAATAGTGCGATAAATCGCGTAGCCCTTAGAGGTTAACGTTGATTTATATGGCCAACATTATTCATAGGATCTAGAATTAGAAAATTATTTGTTATTGAGCAAAAACAAAGATTCGACGTTGAAAATCATGAATTTTAGGTTGAGTATAGTGGATGAATTAATGGATCCAGTTATCGGGTTGTTTGTATCCTTTGATTATGTTTCACCAGAGGCGTTTTTCAAGGGAAAATCAGCACGAATAGTGATATCCAATTATCGAGTTATTTGGATCCATTAATTTGACTTCTTGTTCCTCGTTCGATTTGCCATTTTGCAATCTCAATATTTGAAATTTGAATTTTAGTTTGTATAACTGAGATTATCCTCCCTACCGATTTTACCCTCCTTCGGACAGAGCAAACATAGTCGGAATAAGCAAAAAAAAAAATCATAGGCCAAAGTTTTACCCATAAACATGCAAAACAAAGACAGAAAGACAAGCTTTGCTATAAAATTGAATCGAAAGCAAAAAAACAAATGGACCTTTTTCTCTGGTTTACAAAAGAGAAGAAGAAAGAGATAGAGTCATAACCCAAAAAAAATAAAAAGGAGAAGAGATTGGAGAGAAACACGAACCTTGGCTTCCCACTGGAGCTTCCAAAAGTCGTCGAAAAATCTCAAATCTCAAAGGTAAACGTTTAGATCTAGGACAAGTCGTTGGTTACTAGGTCTAGGGAGGCTTGGATTCAGGTTTATTGGGTGAAGGGGATTCTTTTCGAACTAGGTTTGAGTTTCGACCACTATAGACAGTCGTCGACAGCTTCGGAACGTTGTGGTCGGGGAGAGGTTTGGTCTCTCTCTCAGCTGAGGGAAAGAAATTGTTGAGAGGATTTCCCTCTTTAGCAAAAACGGGAGAAGAATGATGAAAATGAATAAAATGGTCATTTTGGATCGTTTTCTAGGGTTTTATAACCCGTCTTGAATGTCACCGTTTTGAAGGGTGAATTCGTGCGTTTGGACTCATGGGAAAATCATTCTCGCAACCCTCGAGTCCTGTAACTTTATTTTTTGGTCACTGAAATGTATTTTCATTTATTTTAATTTGCAGTTTAAGTTTCATTCTGTTTTTATTTTAGTCAATGCTCATATTTATATATATTTTGGCCGAATGCTTGACTTAATCCTTATATTTTAGATTAATTTCGTTTTAGTCCATAAAGTAATCACATGCAAAAGATGACTAATTTACATTCCTAACCATCTTTATTTATGAAATATTTACTCTAGCCACTAAATAGTTTAGTTATTATTAAATAAATTGAAACTATTTACCAATAGATCCATGTAATTTTAGCTTAGTTCTAGTTTAGTTTATTGATATTATTTATTTAGTATCCATGATTGTTTTACTTTATAGGGTAATGATATAACCCATGTGCTGAAATATATTATAAAAATGATAAAATGCTTCGTAGACCATGTTATAATCACCAATTTTCATATATATGCTCGCATCCATTTTCAAGAACGAGTTTTATAGAATGAGCATGAAAATTACAATCTATCAAGGTAGTACGATTCAATACGATGTTCAAACGAAGACGAACATGAAAATATTCGAGTATGCCCTTAAAATGGAATAATTACTTGTCTTCTTAGCCATGCATTCATTTATTCATAATATATTCTTTTATTTTTTTTTCATTTCTATTGTATTCATGCCTAACTCGAGATGTAAAATAAAATGATAGGAGAATGTTCTCGTATAGGGAAGAGATAGATGGGATAGCATTCCCGATAGAGGACGAGCAAATCTCGTGATATCTTCTCAAAATAGGGAATATTTCTTTAAGTTTTAAACGAATTAATTAATGAGAAATAAAATAAATCGTGAAAAAATTTTGATTTTAGTATTTTTAATTTCACTACCATGATGATATATAAGTGATTAGGTATCAATTTTGGGCGTTGTTCCCCACACATAACCGACTTCCGATCCTTTAAAGATGAATTTTTGGTAAACACATATCAATTTTTTTTTTTTGAATTAATCACTGATATCCGATCTATTGACCGACTAATCCAAATCGAGTACTATAGAACTGAGGGCGACCCTCCCAACCCAGTTTTGCTCCATTCACAAACGCAAGGATTCGAACTCCTGACCTTGCTTGAGGAACCTAGTGCCTCATCTTATTAGACCAACTGATTGTTGGTATATCAATTTTATTTTAAAAATGATTTTAATATTTATTTAAATTATTTTTAAGACGTTTTTAGTTATATTTTATTGTATTTACTATAATAATACTATTGGCTCTTTCTCTAGTAAAAGGTATTATGTCTACCAGTGTTTTTGGATTCTTGGTGAAAATTTTTATTGGTTTTCTTCTCAGTTTTTCATGAATGCATGGTTGTTGTTTTCCCATGGCATGGTTCCTCTGTTCGGTTGTACAAGACGGTTCGTTGGTTATCACATATATGTTTCGGATGTGATTGCTGTTAAGGGGAGATTGCTTTGTCCGTTGGCTTTTTTTGTTCTTCTTCAAGTTTTCTCTCAATGTTTTGATGCTCGGAGCCTTTGGTGGATTCAATTTATGTACGTCGTTGCTTCACTTGTTAATAGTTTTGTTTGTAAGCTATTTCTAAGCAATTATTGTTATATTTTATTTTTGATAGTCTCGACTGTATTTGTTCAATCTGTAATTGGCAAGACGTTTGTTGATACCGTTTTCGATAAATGAAATTTCCCTGGTTATTTTTTGTTGAGTTAATCGATCGACGGAATAGGCCAAGAGGGGGTGAATTGGCAATAAAAATTTAGGTGGAAGCTTTTGCAGAAAATTAAAAATATTTGCACAGCGATTTAGAGTGGTT